AAAGAGGTATGGTCAAGACCAATTCCCCCCAAAATAGCTGTGTTCTATTGGGAAGCCTATTATGGTAAGATCTATACTGCGGAAAACTTGCAAAAGAGGTATGGTCAAGACCAATTCCCCCCAAAATAGCTGTGTTCTATTGTAACCATTTGCTGATATCATGCTCTTTCGCTACCAATATTTGGAACTAGGTTGTTTCTTTATTTGGGTGCAGGTGGAATTTGCCCTCTGAAGTAAAGTTGTTGTTCACTCCGGCTGCCTTTGGGAGATTGACAAAAAGAGGGAAGCTAATGTGGAAATGTATCAGAGCCGCTACGTTGTGGACTGTATGGGAGGAGAAAAATGCAAGAATATTTCAAAAACAGGAAAGAAGTCTTGCTGAAATCAAGGAATGCATATTGACAACGACTATCTCATGGTTAAAATCTTCACACTTGTTGGCAGATTACTCCTTCGATGACTTAAGGAGAAATTGGGCTGCAATGGCTGCTATAGTCTCCACCAAGATCAAATCACAAGCTGAATGGATCCCCCCCCCTCCGGATGGTGTGGTAAAATTGAATTTTGATGGTAGCAGCCAAGGTAACCCAAGGCCTTTGGGAATAGGTGGGATTCTGAGAGACAAAGACAGCAATATGTTGTCTCTATTTTCAGGACCAGTGTGTGAAGGTGATTCAGTAAGGGCAGAGCTACTAGCAGCGGTACAAGGTATACAGATGGCTAGTCAAATTGGAGTGACCAATCTGCTAGTAGAAGGGGATTCCAAGGTAGTAGTAGGCTGGCTAATCAGCCCAGAAACAGCTTGTTGGGGCTACAGGGATCTGCTAAAGAAAGTTAAATGGATGACAAGGAATATGACTGTTAGGTTTCAGTGGGTCAGAAGATTAGCAAATGCAATGGCTGATTCTTTGGCCAAGCAAGGGGTGTCAAGGGGAGATCTTTTTAGAGCTACTTTGTAATTGTGTCTCAGGCCTGGGCAGTTTTGGTGTATATGGTTCAGTCCTAGGGGCGGTAACATCTCGTGCCTCCTCCTAGGCTGATTGTATTACTGATATCTGATTTAATAAAACTAATTTCATTCATAAAAAAAAAAGAAATACCCAATCCCTTCTCTCACGTTGGAGTCGATGGCACGTGTTCATTAATAGGGGTTAACGTTGTGGGAACCGCATGTTCTCTGGGAACGCATTCTTTGAGAGTGTCGATTTTTCATTCCCAAAGAACATGTTCTTTGGGTGTTGTTCTCACGCGAGAATACCTTTTTTTTATTTTTCTTGTACCAAACGCATTCCTGCTCCGCAAGATCACCGGGAATGATAGAAACGTTCTCATGGAACGTTGCCAAACAGGGCCTTAGTGACCTAACAAGGATAGAAACTCTCACTGCCATGTAGAAAGCCTCAAAATAGAGTTGGACAAACTGTAAGACACTCCCCACCTGAATATTTTGTGGAATCCCCTATTTTCTAATCAACCTGTAGCATTAGTATCCAAGATAATCCTTAATGTGTACATGTGAGATGATCCTACAAATATCTCCTAATTAATGTGTCAGTTGATATGTATAAAGAGCATTTAACACATGGTATCAGTTAGTTTATAGCCTTTATTTCCTTAAAAGGGAATCCCAAGTGTCAATCTTTTGCAGGTGGCCTTCTAATTGGAAGAACCATAGCTGTGCTTCTTACCATGACACTAGCGACATCCATGGCTGCTCAGGAGGGACCTATTCCCATGGCTGGTTATCAAGTCTGCTTACAAGTTTGGCTGGCAATCTCTCTTCTTAATGATGCTTTAGCACTTTCTGGTCAGGTAAATAACTTTTCAGTTCTCAACTATACATGGTATTCTAAGTAATCTGTTGAAAATTGAACAATGCCAGTAAGATGAGGCATGAGAGAACAGAAAACTGTAAAGCATAGGAGGGCCAAAATCTGGACAGGGCTACAAGAACTTCACCTTGGAATTCTATTAATGCTATCCTCCTTTCTTTTCTACTGCACGTTAGGTATATAATCCATGTTTTGGAAACCTTGTTATATTTTGGGAACATGTTTGAGTGAGCAATTTTCCTTTGAAGCATTGATTTCCTCTCTTATATTCTCTTTCTAATTGCAAAGATGAGCCGATTTCCTCTTCCTTCGTTCCTTCTAACTCTAGGTCTCGTTTTGGTTGGAATCTGGGCTTTAGGAGAGTTTTCGTGATTCTGAATTAAATAGTGTCCTGTCTTAGCTTCAAATTTTGGAAGTTTTTTTTATCCTTCAATAGGGGACAGTCGGATTTGGACTCCCTCTCCTTCCAACTCCTTTTCTTGTGCCTCCTTTTTTTCGACCTTAATTCAACATCGCAACAGTCAAGGTAGGCCTTTTTCCTGTCAAGGAGATTTGGAGTAGACCGATTCCTACTAGGGTGGGGGCTTTTTCCGGGAAGCTGTTTTGGAAAGAATTAACACCTATGATTTACTTTAGAGAAAAAGACCAATTTGGTGCTTATCCCCTCACTGGTGTTGCCTTTGCAAAATGGTGAATCTTGCAACCACTTGTTAATTTCTTGCCCCTTTGTTTCTTTTATATGGGATTGGTTTTTCTCTTTGTTTGGGTGTAGGTGGAACACCCCCCCCCCCCAACTGTATAATGCTTGTTTGCTTCTACTTTTTTGGTTAGCCGAAGAAACGGGGATGAATCTTATGGAGGTGCTCAAGAGTTGAGGTTTGCTGGAAAATTTGGGAAGAAAGAAACTTGAGAGTCTTCTCTGAGAAGGAGAGAAGCATGGAAGCCTTAATTGAAGTTATCGCCATCAGGGTGGTTCATTGGGTGAAGTCCTTACCCCTTTTTGAGCACATCTCTTCTAATGACCTACATAGGTAGTGGAAGGAAGTGGCACACTCGGCTCCTCATGCAACTACCATTGGGTGATCTTGTTCCCCACCAGGTGAAGGTTTCATAAAGCTGAATTTTGATGGTACTAGTGAAGGAAATCCTAGTTCTTCAGGCATTGGAGGGGTTTTCAGGAATGATGAAGGAAGAACCCTTGCCTTTTTTCAGGTCTAATTGGTGTTGGTGACTCATTGAGGACAGAAATATTGGCCGTAATGGAAGGAGTTATGAGGGCCAAGGAATCGAATGTCCAAAAGTTGATTATTGAAGGCAACTCAAAATTAGTTATAAGCTGGCTACAGAAGGATGAAGTAGGATGGTGGAATTATGTAAATGAAAAAGGAAACTAAAATTGGTGACACTTGGAATGGAAGTTAGATTCCAATGGGTTAAAAGATATGCCAACTCCTGAACTCCTTTGCTGATGCATTGGCTAAACAAGGGGGTGGGAAGAAATCATTTATTTTGGGCTGTGTTGTAATCAATTTTTCTCTAGAAGAGCTAAGAGAGATTGTCTCTCCCAGTTCTGATTGTACTGTTTCTTATTCCCTTTAATCTTTATGGAAATGTCCAGTTATTGATGAAAAAAAAAAAACTGGACAGGGATTTTGTGCCAATACATAGATTTAGGCCTCCCTGAGCTGAAAGCTTTACCAGTTAAAACATGCAACATATGGCCTTTAAAGTGCCTTCCAATATTTGTGAATGCATTCAGTTATGTATAACTTTCTTATGGAGAAATATATGAAAATTTAGGATATTATGACCATAGTCTCTTACGAGGAAAAACAATTATTATCATCGTTTCCCTCTTTGGCTTCTCAAATCACTTTGTCATATTTGCTCTGTTGTCCGTTATCTTCCTATCATGTAGGTTTGGTTCACTTACAGTAACCTATAGTTTTGGTGGATCATGTATTTCTTTACTCCATTGTTTTCCTTACAAATATGAAGGAAAGTAGAACATATTAATCATATTTTCTTACTCCGTTGTTGTTGGTAACATGGTATTGCTAATTTCAACATTTGAACATATTGATCATTTGTATAACTGTGAGGGGTTTTTGCCTTTATAGTAATACAAAGTAGTACCATTTATTAACAAAAACTTGAACATATTCATCACTTCATCTAAAGCCACATAAAATCCTAACTGGGTAACATGCTTCACATCCAACATTCTTGTCAGCTAATTACTATTACAAATGCTTCAATATATTATGTTAGAAAAGATATAACCAATCTCATTTAAATGCTCTAGGAATTACCAGAATCTCAAGGGCAAAAGTTTAAAAGAAAAGGTGGAACTGACTAGAATAGAAAAATGATTTAATATTTGCACGAGGATTCAGGGTAAGCCAGTAAGGGGATTCTTGAAGTTTGCTGTTCTTTATCTTCACTTACTGTAATTCATGGTTGTCAAATAATTACAATATGCAAAATTGATAGAATTTTAATGGTTGAAGCTCCATTATGTATCATCACCCCTTAAGCTGATTTTTCTTCCGTAGGCCCTTCTTGCTGGTGATTACTCTCAAGGGAATTATAAACAAGCTCGCCATGTGGTCTACAGAACTTTACAGGTAAATATCATCTACTGTCAGCCAATTATTTCTAAGCATTTTATTTTCCTTTTCCTTTTTAGTGAAGTTATTCTTCCTGCAGAGACAGTGACTATTTTAACAGTCTTTTGGATCCATTCAGATTGGTTTAGTAACAGGGATTGCTTTGGCTGTTATGTTGTTCATTGGGTTTGAGGCATTTTCTGGCTTATTCAGCACTGACTCTGCTGTTTTGGGAATTGCCCGATCTGGTATTTTGGTAAGGAATTACTAACCTGAAGTATCTTCCCCTAACAAAGAAAGTTGAACTACCTGCTGGGCACATGAGAGGATTATACACTGATAGCCTACTGGTGCACGTATCAATAATACAAGGAATGAGGGCCAATGTCAAATAGATTCCAAACAATAACTTGTTATACCAAAAATCAGTATGTATGGATGTTTCTGACTATTAATTTTATTGACTTAAAACTGCAAATTGGAACTGAGCAAAAAAGACTATAAATTTGAAAGTGACTGATTTAGACAATGTACTACCCAACGACTCACTGTTAAAAAAAAAAACAAGGTTAAGTATAGCAGAATTTTAGCCTGAATAAAATCTTGTTACCCATTTCCATTTGATTGATGGAGTGTGCAACTCCATCAGATCTTTTGTTTTAACCCAAGATGTTCCTGCTCCAACAATAGATTTTTATGCCATGCTTTGTTTTGATTGTTCACTTCTATTTTCTAAATTTGTCCTGAGGTATACAATATCCCAAGAACTTCTTGCATCTATATCTTAATTGCTAATCTTTAGATCTTTTGTCGCTAAAAAAATACTTGACCGTCAATTTGTACATCTAATTTTGCTGTTCTACAATTTCACTATCACATAATGACAATTATCCATTTTTAAGGTTTGTATGGAATTTGCCCTCAATCATTTGATTCGCCATTTTTATGTAAAATATCTTATTAAATAATCATGAAAGCCCATCTTGTACAATGATTATCATCAGTCATAAGGGGTTTTAGCCCATTACAAACTTACCTGGATGGGGTTTGAGTCTGAGAGTGGCCACTTTGTGAAAAGAAATACCAAAGGTTAAGTCCATATCCAATCTATCCCTCCCAAGAGCCCAGATAGCCTTTTTAGTATAGAAAGAACAGTTATTTTTTTCCTTTTTAGTTTTTATTTACTACTCATTATCTTCCTTTTTAAACTTCATTGTTCATATATACCTGTAGTTATACAAATTTTGATTTGGATAGGCTGGCAAAGTTGTAACCTACACCATCTGGAATAATAGCCAGTACAAAACAGAGATGTGAGAAAGGTCATGATCCATCCATTGTGTGCAATAACCGTTATTTTGTATATTTGCCTTGGTCTTAAAAATGATCATCTAATGGTGCTTGTAATCCTTGGAGGATCATTCCTTTCTTTTGGAGTAAAGTAACAAGAAGTGAGGTTGGTTTTTCCTTCCAGTCATGTTTTTCATATAATGGTTCTGTCCTGAAGGATCATGTTTTCTGTTGGAACAAATTAACAGTCAATTAGATGGGTTTACCATTTCTTCCACCTATGTTTTGAGTTCGGATCTGGTCACAACAACCAGTCATAACAGCCTTTTCAGCTGTGCATTGGGAAAATCTTCCTTGTCCTCCAAGGCAAGATGTTCCCAATGTACAGCTGGAATGGCTGTTGAGACTGGTTGTTGGGACTAGATCCGGTCTCCTATGTTTTCTATTGTGTCAAGATGTTGCAGACATGTTGGCTGGAAAAGGCATTAGTTGTCAAGTTTTGACTCTGAACTATTGGAATCTTGTTTGCTGCCATTTTTTCATTTTTTTATTTATGTATTATTTATTTCTCTTGTTTTGCTAATAAATCATTCTCTTGCAATCAAGAAATGAATGTGGCAAAATAGATTATAAAGGTTATTTGGTCAAGGTAAATTATGGAATAGGTGATCCCGCGTAGGACCCATTATTAAGTGGCTCCCATCCTCTTCTTTGTATGTATACCAGTACCCTCTGTCCCTCCATGCAGTTGAGGCAGCAGGTACCTTTGACTCTAAGGCTTCGTTTGGATCCGCTGTAAAACGTTATCAGTGTAAAAGTACACTGATGATGTTTTACACTGAACCGTATAATAGGTGACCATTACATTTTGAAAACCGTGATAAAAAAGTGTAAAGTTTTACATCGATAAAATCGATGTAGTATTTACATCGATAATTGATGTAAAACTTTATGCTTGATGAGGTTTTACATCGAATCCCAATGTTAAACTCCACTCCATCCAAACGCCAACAAATCTAAACTGGAGTGGAGTTTTACATCGATCTTCATTTACACTCCTTCCAAACACCAACAAAACTGAACCGGTGTAAACTTTTACGTCGTTCTTGATTTAGACCGATTCCAAACGCAGCCTAATTGCCTAGATAGAAAAGATTGGTAGGGAAATCCAATGCTGTCATGCTGACAAAAATTTTTGCAGTTTGTTGCTGGTTCTCAGCCAATGAATGCACTTGCATTTGTTCTTGATGGACTCTACTACGGGGTTTCAGACTTTGGCTATGCAGCATATTCAATGGTAATATCTTTCAGGTGGCTTTTCTTTTCATCTGTTGTAAAGTAACACATCTTGATTTTGAATGAGTGTTTCATTGTTTTCAGGTGCTAGTTGGATTGGTCTCTTCTGTTTTCCTATTGATTGCCACTCCTCTATATGGCCTTAGTGGAGTCTGGGCAGGGTTGTTTCTTTTCATGACACTGCGAGTAGTTGCTGGATTTTGGAGGTATGCTTGAAGCAAGATAAACTTCACTGGATTCTAGAAGTGGAGGAACCAAGAGAAAAAGTATATAGCAATTTAGGGTGTCTTCAGTTCATGATTGCATTCGTGTTTCATCTGGATCCAGAATGCACCATGAGTGAGAAATGACTGTTCATTTGGTTGTTGCTGATTCTGGAACCAGCAATACATGGTTTCAGAACCTGCAAAATGGCCATTTTTTGTTCACAATTTTTTATAGCTTTCTCAACCAAGCATTGCTAATGTAAGCATGAAATAGCAGTTGTGTGTAACTCATGTATACATGTACTTTCACTGTTCTCTTTTGATTGTACGGTCTTTATTAAGTAGAAACATTATTAATGGAGCTATATTGGTGTGTCTACAATCCAAAGGGATAGTGAAAGTATACATGAGTTACATAATCAATACTTGCATATCATGGTTCAGAAAGTGAAAGACAAACAAAAGAGCCTCTGTTGCATTGTCTGCTTCACACACACACAAAGACATTTTCTGAAAAAATTGGTACATCTTTTGAACCATATCACCTTTTTCAGAATCATGAATTGAACACCATCGTAGTTAATAGAATACATGGTTATTAGTCATCAAATAGGAATTAAGAACACATTATGGGGTTAATGCCTATTGGTGGAAAGCCCAGAAGTCACACAAATTAGGGATCCTAATCGTTTGGTCATGTGTTCTCACTCTGGGAGGGGGGTGACCCAGCCCTGGGGTTTGATTCTGTAACTAGACGAATGACTAAGAATTCCTTCTTTCTTCTACTCATGCAAAAGATAAGACTCTGAACCTGACAATCTTGGTCTCATGTGCATAATTGAACTGCTAGTAGCTTATTGTAGCATTTAAAGGTCATAGTATTCCCTCTTTCCTTTACTCGCAAGTGAATGTTGTAGCATTTCTTCTGGTTTTGTTTCCTTTGTTAATTGATGTTTGTAAGTTCCAGGCTGAGCACAAAAGGTGGACCATGGAAAATGGTGTGGTCTGAAATTGATCAGAAGAATGACTGAGATGCAGTAAGTTTTGCTTTCAAACACATCCATTGTCTACTCACAGTGATGAAACATGATGAACCCACTCACGGGATCAGAAGCAGTAAGGAGTTCAAATATCTGAAGCCCGAAATGTCAAGGAAATTTTAGCAACGAAGTCATGGATAGCGAGTAACCACATGTACTGACCCCTGGTATCTATTTCAGAGTGCAACTGTTCAGAAATTCATACAGTAGTGCACCCTTCGGACCTATAAGGTTGTACAAGGTATCGGATTTTGAAAGTTGCAGCTATATGCATACATGTTACAGATGACATACCCTTCATTAATCAAGGGATGACATGTTAGCTAGATATCAAGGAGGCTGAATTTCGATTTCAGCTGGCTAAGTTTCTGAAAATTAAGTTACAATTCTATAAACGATCGGTGATGACATGATTGAAGATGGGATAAAGGGTAGAAGGGGTGCTGACGTAATTGAAGATGGTAAAAGGGAGCAGCATTGTTGAGTGCAAGACATCTACCTATTCGGTTACCTTAAGGTTTAAGCTTCAATTGTATATCAAGCTTCATGTATCTTACTAGATTCGTCATGCCCTGCCTTTTCGAAATGTACTTATATTTTGGTAGCTTCTACTGATGTCAGGTGTATGACCTTTAGGTTGCGGTGTCTTTCACTTCTTGCTATTGTAATTTGTAAGTAAGATCTCATTCTGCAGTTATCAGTTAAAAGCATATTTTGCATCCTTATAAGCCAGTTTCCTCTTTCTTTTTCCGAATGTTGAATTTATGAAATCTTACACTCGATGTTAAAACGGTATTCTCTTATTCTCGATGTTAAAAAGTTTGTACCTTTGTTTGCTCGAGAGAATCACTATCTTTGGCTAAAACGGGCCATGCCGCCCGCGGCCAGCACGGCACAACATGGCATGACAAAACGCGGGCTGTGCCAGGCTTGGGGTTTCAGGTCCATGGGCCGGCGTGGCACTGAAGGATTGAGCCGGCCATACCACCTGCAGCCTGTGTGCCAGCCCAGCCTGTGGCACGGCCCATATATGTAATTGTTTTCAAATTTATTATATTATTTTAAATAGACCTTTCATAGTTTTGGCCCAGCCTAGCCCAAGGCTCGGCCTACGGACCAGTCAGCCCATGGCACGGTAAGGGCTTGCGTTGGCTCGAGCTGTGTTAGGCCGACTCCCCAAAATATCCTAGGGGAGGGAGGCACAGCCTGTGGGTCATGCCATGTCGGCTCAGTACGATTGGTTTTATAGGTTTTCTCCCTTTCCCTTCCTTTTTCGTCAAACTAAACACAGCGCATAGAATTTACATATTTCCTCTCGAATTCTCCTCTTTGTTGAGGAAAAATGCAAGGCTTCTACTTGAAGACCTTTGGCAAAGCCTAAAGAACTAAATAAATAAGAGAAGCAATGTTTTAAAAAATGACATGGAACCAGAACCGCTCGAGCCACCGATTTTTGGGTTGACGGTTCGATTGTTCGGCTTAAATGGATGACCCATTCTAACAAAAAATTAATTAAAATAAAAAATGACCAAAACTATTGAACGGGTCGACAGTTCGATCGCTCAGGTCAACAAGTCATTGACCGGTTCAACGGTTTTTGGCTAGGGACCAGGTTTGGGGTAAAATGGAATCGGTTGGCTGGACAGTTCCTAGGTTGAACGGTCTGAGTGTCCAGGTCAACGACAATTCAAAAACATTGGAGAGAAGAGTGTATCCACCCTCCTTATGCTATGTTTGGTTGCAATACAAATTTATTTGCATTGATACAAAACTATGGTAATCCAAAATGATTTTGGTGTAAATTATGATTTATTTTTATTTCAAAATTTATCTTATTTTGTTTCATTACGGTACAAATGAAGTAAAATAAGAATTCAAGCAGAATAAAGTGAAGCCCAAAACAAAATTAAACTAAAATTTGCATTTATACTAATGTAAATAAAGTTACACTGCAACCAAACACAGCCTTAACTTTTTAAATGAGATTTGAGTAGATATTCTCCCTTTTTAATTAATTTTTTGAAATTCAAAATAGTCTTTTGTTTGATTTGATTTTAGGCAAAATACCTAGTATCTACTCTAATACACTTCCATAAGCATGAAATGATACTAAGAATATATTATAGGCCAATCCTGCCAATCCTACCAATCCTAGAGAGAAGAAAAAAAGATAAAAAAACTTTGCTTTTTTTGGGGGTAAAAAGTTGAAGCTCTACTTGGGTCTTAGATAAAGAGAGAAAGCCATGCACAGGAAACACTTGTTTAGGAGTTTTTTGGGACCCCTTTTTTAATATATATATATATATATATATATATATATATATTAAAAAACAATTTTTGAAAAAATAAATAAATTAATTAAACGGAGAAGTACGGACAAGACCATTGCAAATTCTAATTTCTACTGCAGATCTATAACATTTCAAAAGATTAATTACCCCCACCCTATGCTCCAATACCCACATGTGAATTATCATCAATTCCGAGCTGATACTTACCCCAATTGTACTTTGTGCTTATAAATTCTGACATTGGGCTGAACAGTCATTTTTTGGCTACGCATTAATTTCTAACTTAATCCTAAAATGATTAAAGAGACAAGTGTCCTTCTTTTTGTCTTTTTTATGATACAAAATAGCTTCCTTTAATACCATGTGTAAGAGGAAAAGACAAACATGTCAGCTTTTTGACCACTTTTGTAAGAGGAAAAGACAAAAAGAGAAATGACTGATTTTATAGTTCATCATCAAAATATCCTGATTTTATAGTTCCAATTCTACCCCTTCCTAATTTTTTATTTCTAATTCTATCCCCTCTCCCCTAATAGATTTTTTATTTCCAATTTTATCCCCTCTCCTCTTAAAATGACTGAAGTGAATGGAACAAATACATTTTGGGCATCCTATTCCTCCCTAATTTATTATTTCCAATCATATCCCTTGTTAAAATGCCTGAAGCAAAGGGGACAAATAGATTTTGGGCGAACATCCTCATTTCTTCAATATGAGGTTCCTATTTTTTATTTTAATTAAATAATTAGTTTAAATGGAAATTATATTATAATGTTTTTAAATGTAAAGAAATTCTCTCAAAAGGAAAATTGAACAAAAAAAATCTCTAGAAGAGAAAAAATATGTAAATGCTTACTCATTATTGATGTATACCCCATATGCATTTTATATGTAAATTTATTTCAAATTTTTGTAACTTTTAAGTATTTTTTACATGAAATTAATAATAACAAATTTAAAAACTAATTTTTTCAGTAATAAACTACCAAGACGGGCATCTCAGTTTATTTTCACAAACAAGCTGATTACCACTCTTTCTAGACCTAACAAAAACAAATAATCAAAGATTGCTTACATCATTATCAACACACCTTGAAATAACCAAGAAATTAAATCCAATCCCAAGCTATTTAGTTCTGCATAGTTCCATCTGCACATCCTGAACCAGAAGTGACATCATTATAACTATCAGCTCAGCTTAGCTCAGAGAGAGAGAGAGAGAGATATTTGGAGAAATGGATGAAGCTGTGGAGATAAAGAAGGGTAGACCTAATGCCCAATACTCAAAATCCAGTCCCTGTGACCCAATTCCATAAAAAGACTGAATTCAAAAATCACTCTTCCCCCGGCTTTTGCAGATATATCAGTTTTTCTTAACATAAAGCTGATATACATTATATATACCCAACTTGCACCCAGAACAGATCTTGTTTATTTATCCCTTTGCTTAGCCAATGCATCTGTAATTGCATTGGCTATTCTTGCTACCTAATTAAAACTGCAATGCAATTCCCTTTACAGCCTTTATCTCCCTCATAATGCTCCAGTATTGTGATTTCACAAAGCTATCACTTCCTAACCAGCCCAGCAGCAAGACAACATCAATTCAACTAATAGATGATAGATCTATGAACAAATTGAAACAAAAAATGACACAAAATAACTTATAACAACTGGAGTGTTTAATGATTTTATCACTTTTTACCAGTTAATGATTTTATCACCTCTAATATTCCTGCCTTGTTATGTTTCTGGTCTGTTTTTTTCAATAAATGTTTCTGATTTATCACCACATAATGTGGAACCTGAACATCTGGCCCTCCCTCATTGCACTCATCATATGACAATTTAAAATAGTTGGATTAAAATATCATGAAAATTAGTATGAACTAAAATATTATGAAAACAGAATTTTGAATTAAAGTATGTTTGAACTTCAGTTCTCTGCACTCTAGATTGTTTAGTTAATGTATTGTTTTAATTTTTTTGAATGGAATTTATTTATACACTACTTTTTTTGTGCTATTAGTCCAGATTGGCCAATTTTTTTGGACTAGAAGCAATGTTCAAAGTATCGATACAATACGAGTTTCGGCCGTATCATATCGGTACTTAGAAACTGCCGAGACACTTATTTTTTTTTAGTTTTTTTTTTCAAACTTTGGTTTTTTGGAAAAATTATAGGCTGTTTTTTATTTTTTTGGCTTCCCTTCCCCAGCTTAATCAAATACCAGTTCCGGAGCTTATTAGTAACCCAATATGTAATCCCCTCTGGTATCGATGTCGGAGGATTAAGGGGATCCCTCAATGCTGCTACAGGCACTCATGAGTTCGGATTGGGTAGTGTGAAGGAAATAATAGAAGCACCCGTCGAAAGTAGTTCAGTTTTACTGGGGCTTCCTGAGTACAAATCCCCTCATGGAATGGCATTCTTAGTTGGTACGACTGTTCTAGCTGTTCTTTTGACGAGTGYAGCGGCTAAGCATATGGTATAGCATTTCGAGATTGGCTTAKTTATAAGGAATGAGGGAGTCAGTTTATACAAAAATGGGGTTCGAAACCCCCGGAAACAGGCGTTGGACTGTATCGTTTGTAAAAGATACGATACAATACGTTCGATACGGGGCTATGGTATTGATACTTTGAATCTTGGCCATAAGTAAAGTATAGAAAGTAGAGAACTGTGAAGCTGAAATATCATGATGAACTAAAATATCATGAAAATTAGTATATGAATTAAAATTATCATGAAAACTGAATTTTGAATTAAACTTAAGCTCAGAACTGTGCCATATCTTGAGATTTTCTTAAATTAATTGAATCCTAGTAATGTTATCTAATGTTGGTCATTCCTTAATTCCTTTTCTTTTCCCCTTTAGATATATTATCTATTAGATTAAGCCCATACAAACATGGGTTAGAAATAAATCCTATAGACAAAGAAGATATGTCAGTCTATAAAGGGCACTTATAACTCTAATAATGAATCTCATTAGCAACCATTCCCTTTCTGCAATGTTAATATTGACCTTTAATTATTGAAAATTTTGGACTCATCTCTTTCATGTTTTTGGCCCCATGTGACAATGGGTCATCTAGTTTCTGCATATTGAACACGATTTATATGATGTAGGCTCTTTAACCCTTTGCTCTAGAATGGTGGCAACATAAAATTTTCAGTAAAAATGAATTGAAGTTTCTTTTTAATTCCATTCAACATTTTGTTTGATCCATAAAATTATATTGAAATTTCTTTTTCTTTTTCTTTTCTTTTGTTTACACAATTGTCTTGTTTTTCATTTTTTTCCCAATACAAGTTAAACATTCACATGGTTCATACAAGTTATTGTGGAAGGATTGCTCTTATTGGAATTACCTGCACGTGGTAGTTTCTTAACCTTTCATTAATTTATTTGCCTCCTTGTGCATATACAACTAAAGTTACAAACTAAATACAGATGCATCAATTACGGTACCTGTTTACACTTTTTGCATATTTTTATATATTCACATTTACATTATATATTAAGTGGAATCATTAATCGTGTTTTAAGTTAATTTTGTTTTCTTAACCTTATCAGTCCTGCTCAATTAGGATTAAAGAAATTGAAGTTTATTTTTATTTTTGGTCAAAGCTTCAATAATCAAACAAATTGATGTTAATACAACCAATTAAGAATCAACCTAAGTAACCACACCCAACTTAGTAAGTTCTATACCTGGTTATGATTAATCATTCACTGGTTTAAATTCCCCGTGCATAGCACAGGCCATTCTACTAATTTTCACTAAAAAGTAAAAAATTCATTTTTTCTTCATGAGACCCAAAACCAAGAGATCAAAACTTGGGTGACCAAGCACTCCATAAATGAGGGTAACATTTCCTCACTCACCAGCGAAGTCGAACTTGGATTTGTTCCTGATGGAATATTATCATACCAACTTCACAACACATTCAGCTGTACATGGACATCGAGAACATTTGCCCATAAATGACAACAAATATAAATATAGGAGATGTTTCTAACGTGTAGTTGTAATGTTTTATGAGATTGATGTAAAGAACAGATTTAGATTTATTTCTTATTCTTAGTGGATTAATAGCCAAGATAAGAGAGGTGTCTCTTGATAAAATGGTGTTCAGATTCAGAGGACCAACTAATTAATATTCAGATTCAACAAATACGAGTTTAATATCACCATTTTTTTGTATGATTTCTAATTAAATGGTGTCTGATCTCTATATTTCTTCGTCCTAGAGTGTTGGGTAGGGTTTTTGGTCAAGTTGATTATACTTGCATCATCACACATAATAGGAACTTGATCAAATTTTTACCCATAATCCTCTAAGGTTTGTCTCATCCAGAGCACATAAGTTTCACACCAATCAACTACTATGTATGTATTCTGCCTCTGCGCGCTGTTGAAAAAGCCACTGAAACTTGTTTCTTACTATGTCATGATACAAGTGAATGCCATAAGAAATGACATTGCATCCGGCAAAATCGGCATCGGAGTATCCTATGAGATTGAAATCTAGGGTTTTTAGAAATCATAAACCTAATTAGATGCCCCCTTTCAAGTATTTGAAAATTATTTTTTCTGCTAGAAAAATAGCACGCAAACATACAACAAACATGATATCCAGTTTACTAGCAATCAAGTATGGTAGAGCACCAACAACGTTACAAGGGTGTTCCGTCTCTGTTAAGATAAGGTCCAAAAGCGGTAACAGGGTGTATGAAGTTGGATTGAAACATAAAGTGATTGATAGAGAATTTAAGGCTGCGTTTGGTAGAAGTGTAAAATCGAACCGGAGTAATCTTTTCACCCCGGTTCCATTTTACAAGCATTTGTTAAACATGTAATTTTACACCGAAAATTACATTTTACCGTTAAATTACATCGATAATCGATTTAAAATTACATCGCGCTCTCTCTCCCTTCTCTTTTCTTCTTCTTCTCCTTCTCGCTCGCTCGGTCTCTCTCTTCTCCTTCTCTCTTCCTCCGACGAGAATAGAGAGGCGGCGACAAAAACAGCAGTGGTTGCCTTCCCATGACCGTTTCAGAACTTTTTGAGCTCTCGGAGAGGACGATTGAAGTGGGTGACCGTGGGAAGGTACGCCTATTCACTGTGCGGATTTAACGAAAAACTGTATGGACCAATTCATCGATTTCGCTTTGTAATCTCTCTTAGTCCCCATTCGGTCGGGATCTCGCCGAAATCTGGATGCTCGTATTCCAAATTCAAACAGGCCTTCGTCGATCTACTTATTGTGCTGGTAGTTTCGAAGAAACAATGGTCTAATTTTGATCAATTTCTTTTGCGATGCGGATCTGTTTACTTATTGTCTTGTAGATAATTTTAGAAGTTGGGTTTCTTTGTGCCGATTTCCTTTCATTAAAAACAATATCTCCGTACACTTCCTTTTGTTTCTCTCGGTTAGGCAGGTTAGTAATTCAGAGTTGCAGACTCAAAAGTGGTCTGAGATATGCCTCACTTCATGTTCTCTCTTGGTGATCTCTCCATCTGAAAACAGAACATTTTGAGCTCGACCGGTTGGGGCCGTTCTACTTCATCAGCGGAACTGAGGAGAACTGCCAGAAGGGAGAGAAGATGAGCGTGGTCGTGCTGTCGCCGAGACACCATGGGTCTAGCTTGTCTGCTCCGGCTCCTGCACAAGAGGGACCGACGCTCACCGTCGCTCGCGGTGCTCTGTTTCTTGGCCAACTGGCAAGGACTGCAATTTCTCGGTTGCAATGGACTTTTACACCACTGTTCTTCCAAATGTAGATAAGTGTAAAAACAACACAGAACCAGTTCGACTTTTGCATTTATCCATCTGACCGTTTTTCATTTACTCTAGTGTATTTTTATATTTACATCTCAAACAAACGAAGCCTAAAGAAATTGATTATAGAGAGGAAGTGACGTAAAGGTCACCATTTTGAGAATTGCAAGCAAAAGATAGGCCTGTAAACGGTATATGGAAATTTGAATTTGATATTTGACTTAAATGAATTGAATTTGGGTTATTCAGATTGCATAAATGGTTGAATTCGAGTATGTTTGATTAAGTTTCACTTTTGTTGATTGGGGCCATTATTGAATATTTCTTGTTCTCCATTTGTTTTTACTCTCTTTCTCTCTTCTTTGAAAGATGAGTTTTTTCTTCTATTTTTTTTCTTGTTCTAGATTTTTTGAGGTTTTTTGTATTGTTAACAAATGAGTTTGTATTTTCTGAGGCTTTTCTATGTTATTCACAGGTCATGATTGTTTTTATGTCTTTCTTTTGGATTTTAGGTTTAAGGTTTTCTTTGTAAAATTGGTTAAATCGAACCGAGTTGAATATTCAACATTTTAATCAAAATCGAATTCGATTGAAACTTTTGCATATCCTATGGATCTCGAATCAAATTCACTTATCTTGTAATCAAAATCGAATTCAAATATGGCTTGATTCGATTCAAATTTACTTCATTTACAGGCCTAAAAAGAGATGGTCATTTACTAGTTGACCATTTGAAATTCATTTTGCATGGTGAGGCATTGCATGATAAGGAAAATGGAGATGAGGTGCATCTTCAACTTAAGAATGGGGTTCTTTAAGTTGTTAAACCAACAATGAAGACGATGCCGATGATAATTAATATGAAGTTTTAGCTTCCAGAATCAACAGATTGGTGGGGGAAGAAAAACAAAAAAGGAGGATTTTCACCTTTCTTCGCAATTTGAAGTTGCCGCATACCCTGGTTAATTAAGGCAGTTTTCTCTATGAGTCGAAAGGCATGGATCGTCATCGTTCTATGGTTCATTTGGCATCTGTTGGCTGTTGCATACTAGGACCTTGGCACAGAATTTTTTATTATTTTCCAAGAACCTCGGACAGCGGCAACATGTCTTCCAATGCATATTCAATCCTCAACCAAGATTTTATTGAGCTTTCAGGGACACTCAATGCATGTTGTATTGACAGAAACATATAAACAGGAGAACACTACTCTGTTGGGTTCTCCAGAGATGATGCCACAAACTTTGAAACCTTAGGGTCATTGAAGAAACTTGGAACTCTACGTTTCAATTTGGAAGGAATACAAGTGCAAAACCTGGTATTTTTTATTATTTTGTATTTGTATTCTTTCCGAATTGAGCCTGTGAAACAAACGGACCCCAAGAAAAAAAAAGGGAAATGAATATATTACATTTTTTTTGGTAGAAATGAATATATTACATTTGATGATTATTGACATTGGGCTTGCCCCCATCCCAATTAACATTCTGTCTGTCAAAACAGTAGGGGAAGTTTCAAAGGGCATGGTATGCATTTGAAATTTTGAAGAATAATGGAGGATAAAATAGACATTCCAGTCTTTCTATCATTTATGTCAACTGCCAGGAAAAAACTTGGAGGTTTTGCAAATAGTGGGGAGAGTTTTAGTCCATTTCCTAAAAACTTGGAGGTTTTGCAAATATGGGTCTTTGCTACTTGTCTCTAGAGAGGCAACAGGGTAGGTTCATGGAGGATTTTGAAATTGTAGACTCTACCCACCTCTCAACCCCTACCCAAGGTTCAAATTATCGATACTGTATCGACTAAACCCTGAAACACCCCATGTAGGGGCGTATTCGGAGGCTTTTGATATAATACGTATTGGTAGATACGGGTCGGTACGTGACGAAATTTTTAACTTTGCCCTTACCTGCCCAAAACGCATAATGAATTGTTGGATTCTGATAATCCAAACCCTCTTTGCACATGAAAATGCAAAACCCTCCTTGACCCTACCCTCCTTGCAAGGGTAGGGTGGGTTAGGCTTAGAATTCACATTTAATTTCCTATTATTTCTTTATATATATATATAATCAATAAATAAGTAGAATAACATAAATAAACATCAAAGTTTCTATAATTGATCAAGACATGTAAAAAATACATACACTATCAATTATCCTTTAGATAAAATTCAAAATACTATTAAAGTCAAGACCTAATACATAAGTTCATATGCATTCCAACAACAGCCTATATTATACCTACCTACAAGTTGTAGAATCCCAAAACCCGTCCCCACCCTAAAATACATCCTCATCTCTTTAGCCTTTAGAAATGTCATTTATGGGATAGAACCTAAATGATTTTTAATTTTTGGATAAATCGCAAAGACCATGCATTATGGGGTCGATGATAATTCCTCCTTTAACTTTCATTTGTGACAAAGGCCCCTTTGAACTTTCATTTTGTAACAAATACCTCATGATCTTTCATTTTGTGACAAATACACCATGATCTTTCATTTCTACAAATACAAATATGTAGAGTGTAAAACCTTGTATTTTGTATTGTTTTATACATATTTCTATGTAAAAAATACAAATACAAATATATATATTTTGTATTATTTTGTACGTATTACCAAAATACTCACATGTTTATTTTATTTTTCTTGACCCTTTTCTCTTAAACCTTAATTAACCCAAAAATACCTCCATCTTATCCAAAAGACACTAGCTAAAATAGCAATAATCATTTCATTGACATATAAAAATAAGTTTCTTTAAATTATTGTTTCATTTTCACATGAATACCTTTTTTTCATCTTAAATTATAAAAATTATCCACTCATTTATCCAATAAATTAAAAAAACCAATTTTACATCTATTAGAAAGAAAATTCTACCATTTCATATAAATATCGACTGTGGTAAAAAATCTACAGGAATTTATTGGAAATTGAGAGAACTTTAATATTGTATTTGAAAAACTAATCAATCATAAATTGTTCAAATAAATAAGAAAATAATAGTTTGGGGATTTAAAAAATTAAATAGTTGAATAGAGATTTTTTTGAAGTTAATTGATGGAAATGTAACAAAAAGGGTATTTATCACAACATAAAAGTTTAGAGGTATTTGCAGTAAATGAAAGTTTAGGGGTAATTGTCATTTTTTTTATAATGCCCCATAGGGCAAATTCATTCATCAACAAACTCAGTTTACATATCTTGTACAATGGTATTGACGAGGAAATCAAGAGCTTGAGACCAAGTTTTAACTCTTGTACATGTAATAGAAAATTTAGCCAATTTATGTGCAGCCATGTTAGCTCTTATAGGAATGTGATAAACCGAGTAGCTTGAGAAGCAATGCAGCAATTGTTTGCAGTCAATGACTAAGACGCTAATACACCACGGTGGATCCAACGAATCCACTAACAAACATTTGATTAAAGTGAGGGCGTTGCTCTCAACCAGTGGAGCCTGAAGAGATTAACTTTAGTGGGTAGGAGATTAGAAACACTCTTCTAAATGAAAAGTAGGATATTTTGTGGTAGTAACTTGGTCCTCCAAAATGAATTCCAACTTATGTTTTGAGTCAACAAGTCACTGTTAGAAGATGAAGGAAGTTCATTTAGTAAGGATTTCATACCAGATGAGGTGGAGTAATTACCGCTGGGCGTAGGGAGCCAAACTAATTTATCATTAAAATGAGCTTCCAAAGCAGGCAACCGAATTGAGAGAATTGATTGGATTGTGTTGTGGTCAAAGTAATGGGCCAATTTGTCGTGATCCCATGTTCCCCTGTCATGATTGATGAATTCAGCTACTTTGATCTTGGAGAGGTCTTCACTTACTTTGGTCCAATCAGCTTGGATGCCTGGAATCCAGTTATCCACAAAAACATTTACAGCCCATCCTGACCCTATTAACCATCTACTGTCTTGATGTAAGAATTGTTTACAAGTCATTAAGCTCTTCCAAGTGGTAGAGGTGCTAGCTTTTGATTTTGCTAACCAAAAATTTTGATTTTCTAAATATTTGGCCTTGAGAATTTTTACCCAAAGTGCATTGTTTTCTTTCAGGAACCTCCAACATAATTTCGATACTAATGTCTTATTCCTCATTTCAGTTCATTGAAGACCAATTCCACCCTTATCCTTGGGTTTCAACAACCATTTTCCACTCCTTTTAAGTGAATTTTATTTTATCCTTCAGTTGAGCCCCACCAAAAGTCTCTGCAAAGATTATTGATTGATGAACATGTAGCTTTTGGTAATAAAAGAGTTTGCATATAATAATTTGGAACAACTTCAATGGTTGGTTTTATAAGCACTGTACAACTAACTTGGGAAATAGTTTTACTTTTTCACTCACTCATATTTTGGATTTTTTCCACAATAAGCTAATTGTCAATGACCCCATAATAAATGGACTCTTTATAATTTATCCTTTAATTTTGGACAAATTTTTTAAACTACCTCTATTAGTTAGTTAATTGACAAACTTAACTCTTAATGTTTAACTCCATTAGTTAGTTAATGGACTCTATTAGTTAGTCCATAATAAATGGACTGCAATCATCTCAGAAATATGAAATTACAGCCCGTTCTAATCTACTAGTAACTACTATAAACCGCATCTTGCCCGTGGATCTGACATCAATCCACGGTCAAGATTCAGTACACCCCTGGTAATCTTAACTCCGCCTAAAACCCCCGTCTTTTAAACCCAATACCACCCTCAATCCATATTCTCTACACTTCCCCTATTCCCTCTCTTTTCAACATTCTTTTCTTTGACTCAACCGCAGTAGGTGCAGCGGCAGCTTCGGCACCAACATGAGACACCTCTGTGGCCTTCGTCGCCAATCACCGTGTTGGCAAGCGGCAAGTTCTATCGCATCAAGCGACAAGTTCTATTGCATCAAATTCTCTGCCTTCCAGTACCGTCTTCAGCTGGAAGTCAAAAGGTATGACTTGACATTGTTTGCAAAATGATTTCAGTAATCGGATAGAGAGAGAAGCAGAACGGGGGACAAAGAGGAGAAGAACAAGAGCCCAAGATTTCTTCTTGTTTCTCCCTTCCCATCTCCTACGCCTCTATAACTGCGACGAGAGGTACTCCCCGGAAAACCGTTTCTCCCGCCCAAGATTTCCCATCGTTTCTCCTATCGTTTCCCACCATCGTTTTGTGATGGCCTTTCACACGAAAACCGACATCAGAAAATCTCCCCAGAAAACCGACCTCAGAAGAAGAGCAAGCAAGATTTAAGAAATTTCGTGACGACCTTTCTCATGAAAGCCGCTCGGTATTACTTCGAGCTCACGTCAACCCTGAAACGAAAAGGAAAAGACAACTAGAATCCATATTGGGCAAATGAATTTCACTGTCATCTGAGGTCTGGAATTACAGGAATATCCCCCAGGGAGTATGAATAAAATATTGAGCGAATGAACTGATCTAAGCATCCATATAATCAAAAGCGATTAGCTTAAAGCTCATCGGAGCTGACGGTGCATGAGCTTGTGGTGTAACCCCGCAGGCACCAGATGCAGCAAGGCTTTCCAACCAAACCTCATCGCGATGGTCGAGTCAGGGTCATTGTTGCGGTGCCATGACCAGTGGCAACTCCCGCCCTGTATGTCTCAGGCATTAGAGGGCATTGGAATTCCACCTCTTCCATCGGTGTAGATTCTTCTCAAGTAGGATTAAGAGGACAGCTCCGTTGCTACAACTCCACTCCCTGTTCTTGTTGACAGAGATGGGAGCTGCGCTGGTTAGGTGTCGATAATTAGAAGATGAACAGTGGAGTTTTCCACTATTTCAGCAGCGGACCCTCTACCTTCGAGTGGTTAGGTGCCAGACTGCTAGGGCTCCGTCCATTTATAAAGGGAAACCTGTTCCCGGTCTCGATCCGTAAGCATAGACGAACTAAAGCGGGGCATTTAATAGAGAACTTCAAAACGAACCTACTTGAGGTCTCTGAGAACGGAACCACAGGGGTACTTTTTAGTTTCACCCCAGGGGTAGACTGAACTATAAAAACCCCTATTTTTAAATAAAGATAAACTTTGTCAATTAATTAAATGACAGGGGTAGTTTAAGAAATTTGCTTTAATTTTTTAATCAAAAATTGATGTCAAAATGCAGCTTTATTTGGATAAACTGCAACTTCACGCGGTCACGCCTTCATCATTTATTGTACTTTCTAGTTTCAACAATCAGCGGCGGGGAAAAAACTGAAGCCGCGTCAGACTTCAAGTTGGGTTTGAGAGTTAGAGACCCCAAATAGAAACTCTCCATCTTTACTTTTCGTTGCATTCGTTATTCACTTCCACTGCACGATCAATTTTTAGATTTGTTTTCGATCCCCAAAACTCCCAATTTCCACTGTTTCATCATCGCCATGGACGCCGCTGTTAAGCAAGAAATCAGTGAAGCTGGAGAACTAACGATGGGAACCGCTCCGCCCAAGGCTTCTGTTTCTAATCCGGATGTAATCGAACTCAGTAGCAGCGGCTCTGATGACGACTCCGACGATGATTCCGTACTCGTTAAAAGGTCTCGAGATTCGAACGGCGTCGATGGAGATTCATCCAAGAAGCAGAAGTTCGATGTAGTGTTACCTCTTGGCTTCCTCGATCCCCTGCCACCGGAAGAACCTGTGCCTATGCGGGAGACCGTCACGCCTCCTCAACCTCAAGGTGTTGCTTCGAGTTGCAAGCAGTTCTGGAAAGCCGGGGATTACGAGGGCGCTCCTGGCGATTGCCCGACATCGTCTCTGAGTAATTCAACCATTTTTGTTTGTTTGTTTGCTTATTCTGTTGCTTTATTGTTTTGTTAATGTTCTCTTAGCTATTATCTGATATTTTTACGCACATAGTGGTTTAGTGTTAGAAGTCTGTCTTTTGTTTTAGCGCTTTGGGTTTTTCTTTGGATTGAACTGGATATATAACTGATTTGATTCTTTGGTGTTTGTGCATGTTGTGACTTGACGCTGGTGGAATCATGAAAGTACGATGGGATTCTTGCCAAAAGAAAAAGAAAAAGAAAAAGACAAAGAAAAAGAAAAAGAAAAAGAAAAAGAAAAATTTGATTGAACTAAACGATGCCAATGTTATTGAAATCACATTTATTATGTCAATAATGAAGTTACCTGGACTGGAGACCATGAATAATGCATATGCATCTTCTCATAGTTTGTAGAATTCATCTTACGACAATTACATCCTAATCCTCTCGAATTGAGAAAGGTCCTTGTTCTATAGTAGGGAAACAGGAAGACACTCAGTGACTTAAAGTTGGACAAAAAGAATCTTGGCCTAGAAAGATCTTCCTTAGATCTTGTCCAGAACCATCATTTGTGATCCTTTATAATAATTTTTTCTTTTTTTTCCTTTCTTTCTTTCCAGGAGGATTATCCCTCCACAAAGATCTTCCCTAGATCTTATATTTGGCCTAGGAACAAGACTGTATTTGATATGGAAAGTAAGGAACAATTGCAATGATGATTGATAAGATTTAGTAGGAGTAACAGAAAAACAATTCCATATTGTAAAATGGAATTATGGAAATAGGTAGTTTTTCATGGACATGGATATAGAGGAAAAGTTGTCAGCTTCTAAAGTAGGGCAATAAGTAGATAGGCATAATAATTAAAGAGTTGGTATAAAGGAAGATGAAGATATTGCATTGATGAGTAACCTTGGAGAGATTAAAACAGTGCTTAATAAGGGGAGAGAACTTTGGGGGAATCAATTAGTGGTTTCAGCAAAGGAGAAAGTTGAAGAATGGCATGCAATTAGAGACATGATTAGTAGTTTTTTTGAAGCTGAGAGGCTTGTTAATGTTAACTGTGTTTGATGAAAAGAAAGCCCTCCTAGACCTCCTGGACGAGGAAGTAGACATAGCAGATTTTTCATTTCAAACTAAGTTTGGTCAGGTTTTGATCTCATGTTGGTGCCCAAGCTCTAACTTGAAGCCTTTGCAGATAGATGATGGTATAACAGTGGGGTTGCCTTTTCACTTGTGGTGGCAATGAACATTTGAGTTGACTGCTACAGCCTGTTGGGGTTATTTAAGAGGTTTCTTTGTCAAAGACCTTCATTCAGTGGTATTGAGATTGGTGGGGATGAAGTTTGAATCTATACCCAGGAAGATTGAAATTTTCTTTGGCGGAATGTTTCACCATATCTGGCTTGCAACCTCCATTGAAGCTGCTTTGTGGAGAGGAGGAGGTCATAGGGTGGAAAGCAAACAAATTGAAGAAGATGAGCTATGTGGTAGGAAAAGATTGGATGATTCATTTTTTTTATTTGGGATTATTGCATGAAAGAGGGGTTGGAGGAATGGAATAGCAAGAAGATTGCGCTCCAAATTGCTAATAATAGTTTTACATTGAGAATTAGAGTGCAACTTGATGGTAGGTCTTATGCTCAGGTATTAATTGTTGGGGGAGGGGAACTGCTACCTACTTTGGAAAGTAATAACGTGCAAGGCAAGCTAAATGAGTTTGATCGACAGGTATTAGGGGGTGGGTTGGGTAACATTCCGAGTCAAGGCAATTTTGACATGTTTGGGGACTGAGAGCTGACTAAGGATGGGCTAAGTGACCAAGCGATCGGAATAAGAAGTTCAAGCTATGAGTTGGGATGAATGGGTTTAAGTGGGCTGGCTTATAACTCTAAATCAGATGGTTTTGACCATAGAGCACATGCTCTTTTAATTGGTCATGTGAACTAATGATAGACAATCCGTGGTTGCGCTAACCCAAATAGAATAGATACAAAGAGTGGCCTACTCTCTAGGCAATCATCCACAAACATCGTTCCAATGATCCCTGGGAATATTGAACTAATTATCGGTGATGTAGCACGATCTAATGCTCCGTGCTGGAGGACAGCTTGGACGTCGGGCTAGTGAGGTTGCTTGGTCGAGCTACAAAACAAGTCTATTAGAGTGTTCGGGGTACTTTACCCGGTGTGGGCACACCGATGCTTAAGTTAGCGATTTGGAGGTTTGAGAGAGCTGAAAGCTTTAGATTGCAAGAGAATTAGAGAGCTTAGTCGCGCATACCTTGTGAGACCGGAGGCAAGGCCTTTATATAGGCGAGCTGTCGTAGGCCTCACAATGCGTGCTTGAGATCGTCGGCTAGTCTGGTCCGGAGTTCGTTTTGCACCTGAAGATAGACTCTGTGTAAGCTAATAAGGCTTATCCAAGTCCGTTCGAATTGGGTGGGGAGAAGATAAACTCTGTTGACGTGGTGCCGTGATCTCGAGGAGATCAGAGACAATTGGCTTGCTTCTAGATAAAGGTTACGTGGCACCTTGGTCGGTGCATATAATTGAGCTACTCAAGCCTCGACCTAGCTAGGTGACCCGAGGTGCGCAAGGTGGTTGGGATCGCTGAGGTGCCTGAGGTCGCTGAGGTGTCACCACATCATTCCGTCACTCCATGTGTCGTCACATCATTGGATGGGCCAAATTGTCCCCTACTCCCGAGCTCGACATGGTCAACTCGGGCCGGGAGTATCATCGAGCTGAAAGGATTTGGCTCGGTCTTCGGTATCTGTTGAATGTACCAGGAGTGAAAGTGGGTAGGAGCTCTCTCACCTTGGCCAAATAGGCTGACATGGTGGGCTCTCGAGCCTCATATTGCCCATTCACTTGGTTCACCACTAGTTAAGAATCATTGCATACCACGAGGTGCTTTGCGCCGACCTCCTTTGCCAATGTTAGCCCGACTATTAATGCCTTGTACTCAGCTTCATTATTCGATGCTTCGAACGCAAATCGAAGGGCGTACTCCAACTTCACATAGCTAGGCCCATAGAGGATCAACCCAGCTCCAGTTCCGCACTGGTTAGACGAGTCATCCACGTGGAGGATTCAGGGCTTCTCGTCCCAGGTTGGGACAGGTGCCACACTGGTAGATGCCTCTAAAGTGGTAGTAGGCTCAACCACTCCAGGGGTCAGCGTGTTGAACGTACACTTGACGACGAAGTCAGCCAGAACCTGTGCTTTGATTACTGGGCATGACTCAAATCGGATGTCGTATTCGCTCAACTCGATGGCCCACTTCGTTAGTCTTCCCGAGACCTCGGGCTTTTGAAGAACGTGCTTCAGGTCGGTCGGTTAGGACTACAACGGTATGGGCTTGAAAGCATGGGTGCAACTTTCGATCTACCAATACCAAGGAAAAGGCCAGCTTTTCTATGTCGGGGTGCCTGGTCTCGGTTGCGTGTAAGACTTTACTTATATAATAGACAGATCATTGCACCCTGTCCACTTCTTAAATTAGTACTGAGATAACCACCTCGTCACTTGCAGAGAAGTAAAGTTTTAGCTCATCTTCGGGTTTCGGTCTAGTCAATAGTGGATGCAAAATGAGGTACCTTTTGAGCTCATCGAACGCGAGCTGGCATTCCTCGGTCCACTCAAAATCTTCATTTTTCTTTATGGCCGAATGGGAGACACCACCCAACCAATTTAGACATAAGCTGGTTCATGGCGGCTTTCCGGCCTGTTAGTTTTTGGACTTCTTTTATGACCTAGGTGGTTTCATATCTAAGATCGCCTGGATTTTATCCGGGTTGGCTTCGATGCCACATCGGCTATATAGCCAAGAAATTTGCTCGATGTGATCCCAAAGACACTTGTTCGGGTTGAGCTTCATGTTATATTTTCTTTAAATTTCAAAAACAGAATTTAAACCAGAAAACAAAGAATTAGAAAATTGAGTCTTCACGACCATGTCATCAACATAAGCCTCCATTTTATTACCAATCAAATTTGAAAAGATTTTGTTTACAAGTCGTTGGAAAGTTGCTCCAGCGTTTTTCAATCCGAAGGGCATTACTTTATAGCAATACAAGCCCAGTTCAGTTACAAAAGCTGTTTTTTCTTGGTTGGCCGGGTCCATCCAGATTTGGTTATAGCCGGAGTAGGCGTCCATGAAGCTCAACAACTCGTGCCTCGAGGTCGCGTCTACCAGGCGGTCTATTATGGGGAGCGGGCAACTGTTCTTTGGGTAGGCTCTGTTGAGGTCGGTGTAGTTGACGTACATGCACCACTTGCTAGTGGCTTTTTTCACAAGCATTGGGTTTGTAACCCAACTCGGGTACTGGACCTCCCTAATAAAGTTTGTTGCGAGAAGCTTCCCGATCTCCTTGTCAATTATCCTCCACCTCTCTAGGGCGAGGTTTTTCTTCCTTTGCCTGACTGGTCTGATAGTTGTGACTGTAATGGCTCTGGAAGGCGAGCTCCAATCTGCACGGTCATCTTGGGCTCGATGTCTGAGACCGGTACTAGGACGGTGTCTCCCATTGGGCGAGCTCACTTGTCGGCTTCTCTGGGGGTGGTTCCAGGTTGACATCGTTTGCCAGCTTCCCTTTGCTTTTCAACGCCGCTACTTACACTTGCGCGATTCCAGTTGGTCGCCTCGCGCCACCCCTACTTCGTAGATCATCGGAAATTTCGACAAGTAGTAGGTCGACACTACCGCTTGAAGTGCATGCAGGATGGGCCGACCTAAAATGGCGTTGTAGGGGGACAGAGTCACGACCACCAGGAAATTATGCTTGAAGCGGACTGAGTTTGGCTCCAAGCCTACTGTGACTGGCATTTTTATCCAGTCTAGATGTCGTACCACATTTCCATTGAAGCCGACGAGGGGAACGTTGGCCGGCTGTAGATCCTTCCTCTCGAGCTGCATCTTCTCGAATGCGTCTAGGAATAGTATGTCGGCCGAGCTTCCGGAGTCGACCAGAATTCGCTTTTTCTAGAAG